CGTAAGAAGGCTTGCAGATTGGTACATGAATGCATCTGCACCTGATGTTTGTTACTGCACTCTGGGCCTGAGCTGTGAGCACTGTCCTCAGGCCAAAGCAGAAGCAGCAAAGTGAAGAACATAAGGGTATCTCAGGAATTCCCAGTGCTGCAATAAAAACTCCCTGGAAATCAATTATTTTCCTGTACAAGTAACGTGCTGTACCACGTACAGGAACAATGACCTGGTAAGGCCAGTGAGCAGAGCATTTCACAATCAAAAACTGAGTACAAAGTTATGAACCCTAGGGGTCTGTATTGTGACAATTCCTCTTTAACATCTTTATCAATTATATTGATGATGGGATTGAGTGCAGCTGTGAAGTGCAGTCTGCTCTTGCAGCCCAGAAAGCCAGCTGCATCCTGGGCTGCATCAAAAAAAGGGTGGTCAGCAGGGTGAGGGAAGTAATTCTCCCTGTCTACATTGCCCTCATGAGGCCCAGGCACCCAGTACAAGAATGATGAACAGCTGTTGAAGGAAGTCCAGAGGAGGCTATGAAGTTGATAAGAGGACTGGTGCACCTTTGCTGTGAAGACAGGCTGAAGGAACTGGGCTTGTTTGGCCTGCAGAAGAGAAGGCTCTGGGAGAGGCCTCATTACAGCTTTCCAATATTTAATGGGAGATTTATAAAGAGAAGGGAGATCAACTTTTTACACGGGTTTATAGTCAAAGGAGACGAGGAAATGGTTTTAGGATACAAGGGAAAATTTAGATTACATGTCAGGGGTACATTTTTCAAAAGAGAGAGTGATGAGGTACTACCACAGGCTGCCCAGAGAAGCTGTGGATGCTCCGTCCCTGAGGGTGTTCAAGACCAAGCTGGATGGGGCTCTGGAAGCCTGATCTAGAGCGTGATCTAGTGGATGGTAACACTGCCTGTAGCAGGGGCTTGAACTAGGTTGTCCTTGAGGTCCCTTCCAACCCGCTGCTTGATTCCATGACGCAGGACACAGCACCTGCCAGATCCCGAATGCGCTACACATTTAACTTAAACTTGGAGGCGGTAGGAGGAGCCTCCACCCGTTGCCCGTCATAAGGAAGCCGCCCCCACACGCTAGGAAGTTTACCGGACGGCAGTCAACAAGACTGGCACGGGACTAGCAACCAACAACCGCCACAACCTCCCTACCCAACCCGCTCCAGAACGTACTGGAACCAGCCAACCACTTCACCGGCCAATCACTGCGCTGCTCCGGCGGCGCGCCCAGGCCCCGCCTTCCTCCTCTCCCGGCTGTCCGCACTTTTACTCTGCGTCTTCCAATGATTGGTGGGTCGGCGAGAGGGCGGGATATGAAAAGTGCCTGATGGTCGTCATTGGCGATGCCAGCAGACCAATAGGCAATAGAGCCGATAGATTCAAACGGAGCGGGCTCGAGCCTGGCAGTTACTCTTTAGGGGGTTCGTGAGTACATCATATCGCGCCTAGAGTTCTACTGCTTTTCGCCATGGCTCACAAGGATATCTACTACTCCGAAAAGTACTTTGACGAGCAATACGAGTACCGGTACGAAACAGCTTCGGAGCAGGGGCTCAGGGAAGAGGGAGGGAGTTCTGCTGGCTGCCCCGAGGCTGTTGCCCGGCGCTCCTGTTTTCTTCGAGAATAAAGCTCTGTCTGTGGTCTCTATGGAGGTAGATGGGCTGAAGGCTGGAGGTAGCGCCTCGCTCTCTCGCCCTAGGATTCCTTTCAGCTTTCGCCCGGACGGGGAACGCTGCTCTCGGCCTGTCTCTTTCCCGCGCAGGCAGGGTAGGCTCTCGCTGCCGCTCACCAGCTGAGTCCTCAGCGGAAACATTTCTTATGTCCGTTTCGAAGTGCAGTGCTGATAGATGCACTTTATGAAGTCCTTCAGACAGTACTCTACCTGCTGGTTTTCAAGGGTCTGCAATAGTACTAGTTGGTTCTGCGGTTCATTTACCAGTACTGTTTACAGTTTTCTAGATGTTCTTTTAAGCACTACTGCAAACTGCAAGAACTGTTTTTGCTACGTGGAGCCTGAGTAGCTGTCTCCTGCTAACTCTTAATAGTTATTTGGCCTCAGAAACGAGATGGAACACCTTTTTTATGGTAAAGGAACTTGCAAATGTGGAAAGAGGGTCTTAGGTTTCTTACCTCAGGTTCCTAAGTGGTATTAGTGTTTTAGTAGTGTTTTAGTATAAGTGGTATTAGTCTTTAAAAACTAGCACCATAATCTCTATAGAGAATATATTCACTACAAAATACAAACAAGAGTGACTTTCTCAATGCATTAGAAATGTGTGGGGTCACTGTTTAGTTTTTTTTAAAATTGTTTTTATCACAGACAATTGCTAGTAACACATCCTTAAGTACGAGTACCGTAATTAGAGCACGCAGGGGATTTAACCTCTTTTAGGATGTTTGCTGTCTCAATATACAATTGCACATTTAAAATTGAGTTTTGGAATTGATGTTCCATAATTGCTGGTATCCAAGAGCACCCTAGGATTCTTTCTGGAATGGCCAGGGTTGGAAGGGCCCTCAAGGATCATGAGTCTCCAACCCCCCTGCCATATACAGGGCCACCAACCTCCCCTTTTAATACTAGACCAGGCTGCTTGGGGCACCATCCGATCTGGCCTTGAACACCTCTAGGGCCTTCCACAACCTCTCTGGACAGCCTGTTCCAGTACCTCACCACTCTCATAGTAAAGAAGTTTCTAGGGAATGCTGGTAATCATAAATGGACTTGCTTAATATCTTTTAGCAGAGACCTGTGCAAGATATCTAGGGTATAATATGTTAATTACTAATCTACAGGCATGTAATGCTGCCAAGAGAACTCTTAAAACGAATGCCAAAAACTCATCTTCTGTCTGAAGAGGAATGGAGAAGCCTTGGAGTTCAGCAAAGTCTTGGATGGGTTCATTATATGATCCACAAACCAGGTAAATACAGATGAATAAGACTGATGGAAAAAAAGAGTCTAAAATATATTAAAAAAAAAAAAAAAAATTACTTAAAATATCCAAGACTGGTACTCAACTGAAGTATGAAGATGAGTAGTTGCTCCTGCTGTTGAATTTGCTTCTAATTGTTTTCATTGTTTTTGATTTCTTTTGTCAGCTCCTTGTTATTTAGGTTAGGTAGCAACATAAGCAACACCGGAGATTTTTTTTTTTTTTGTGTAAATTTCACCTCTGAGTCTTGGAACTGATTGGAAAATGCTAGTTTGGTTCTAGGTTCATGCTTTCTCTGTATACCAACAAATCAAAGTTGTAGAGTACTTCAGAAGGGACCTTAAAGAGCATCTTGTTCAAACTTGTTTGTACTCTGCCTCTGCAATAGGTTTTTTGTGACATCATATAAGTACGATGTTAGAATATCAGTGGCTGAGGAAAACTTTATATAGCAGCATATTTCTATGTAATGTACCTGGTACACCTGCTTAGTAGAAAAACCCAGCAGATACTCATGTAGACCATGTCCTGCACTAATGTTCTGAAAAATCCATGATATAGTTTTAGGTCTAGTAGTTGTCTACTAAATACAGCCTCTCAATTAAAAGATTACAAAGACCTTAAACCTCTCTAATCATTGTGTACTAAAATAGCCATACCTGGTACTTGTTAATTAGGCTGAATTAAAGCCAACCTCGTGAAATTCCAAATTTCCAAAAAAATGATGAAGAGACTAGTCTACCCTTTCAAAACTTCTCTTAACCTGGATACCTTTGATATTTTTGAATGGGATTTTTTTGGAAGGGTTTGCAGTTGAGTCAGGTCAGTACTAACTGAAGCTAGCTATATTAACTAAAATGGCTTTTGTTGATGTTTGATAGTATATACCTCACAAGGACAGCATCAGCAGTTTCTTATACTGTTATACTCATATACTGAGTAATTAAAATAATGCAATGAAGAGAGAGTGTTAATTCCCATATTTGCTGTACTTCCTTTATAAGTTTATTATACTGTCAACCTTTGGTATAAATTTTAAGTTACATGTTTGTGACCTCTAAGGTTACTGTAGAATTGGTCTGTAAATCCTACACTTGAGGACAATTGTGGGCTTGATTTATCCATTTCTTATTCAGTGGTATTGTTCAGGCCTCACTGAATTTGATGAAATGCTTCTCATCAAGGCTTAGAGAACAGACTGACACTTTGTTCAATTTTATTCCCACAGAGCCACACATTCTTCTCTTTAGAAGACCTCTTCCAAAAGATAATCAGAAATGAACTACTGTCTAAAAATATTCTCAATCTTCTGGAACTTTGTGTATGCATGTATATATGTTGGTAGTATTCAGTGAATACTTTTATGTACAAAACATACAACTGTACCTGTGCATGAGCTGTATTATTCACAGCAACAAAGCTCAGTCAAATACAATTTCTATTAGGCTGCTATTCTTTCAAAGAAAAGTGGAATTTAATTTTTAATGTCTCTTAGTCTGAAATGAGTTCTCTTTAATAAAGTTTACTATTGTATGCTTTGAGTCATTTTTTTTAATCTTGCATGTTTTTTTAATCCTGCATCACTTTTGCACTCGGCTTTTCTGCTAAAATGTTGCATGCTCAAAGGCAGTTCACCGCTAGGCATAAAGAAATAAACCCTGCTTGTTGTGCTCTATGAAATCTAAACCCCTATAGAGATCTAATTCACCAGACAAAGCAAATTACCTTATGGAGAAACTTTAACTAGGTGAATTACAGAACCGTAGAGGTATGGCAGGGGCTTCTGGAGGACCCACCCCCTGCTAAGGCAGGCTCCCTACAGTACGTTATGCATTAAAGTGCCCGGACGGTCTTGAATATTTCCACAGGAGACTCCACAACCTTTCCGGGGAGCTTGTTCCCGTGGTGATTCATCCGCAAAGTAATTCTTTCTCACGTTCAGGCGGAACCTCCTACTTCCCTGTTCGTGCCCGTTCGACCCCGTGCGCGCCGTTGGACGGACGTCATCGCGGCGCGCCGTAGGCCCGGGCGCGGCGTCGCGGGGCGAGCGGAGTGGCGGGACGAAGCTCTCGCCATGTTCGCGGAGAGGCGCCCTGGCCGAGGCAGCGAGGTGAGTGCGGCGCCAGCCCCGCGTGTCCCCGGCTTGTTGCGTGGAGTGGTCGCCCCGGTCCATGGCCCCGCACCCACCCGCTTGCGGGGATCTCACGCTCGGCGCGTCAGCAGGGATGACTGAGGGCCCGATGAGGCCTGGAGCCGGGAGGGGGACGAGGCGCGGCTCGCAGGTCGCCCGCCGCTCTGTGTTGGCCGCTGCGTGGTGGAAGTTCCCGGCGGGGCTGGGCCGGGCCGGGCCGAGCGCATAGGCGGTGCGCCTCGGGGGCCTGGAGACGCACTGTTGCCCGGCTGCTGTGTCCCTGCCGGAGGTACTCGCAGGGGACCGGGTGAGCCCCGCCTGCGGCCGCGGCTTGTGCCCGCGGTGTGCTGCGCTGCCGTCTGGGGGCCAACCCCAAATAACCGATCCCAGTTTCCTTCCCTGCGTACTTTCTGTATAGTTACACACCTGTGTGTTTGTTACATGCTTACTGTGTGGAATACACATTCCATTTCCCACTGCTGAAGTGGCAGCTCAGCGTGTAGTTGGGACTGTCAGTAGGTTCAGGAGTGGAGGAGTTTGCAGCTCTTCTTTAGTCTGTCACAGTTCCTTATGTGTTTGTGATGAAGTCAGTGCAGCAACCAGAAGGAGCAGCGAGCCTAGTATATATGCCTAAACGTTGGAACTACTGTTCAAGTGTTTTCAAGATTACTGTGTTATTTAGTTACTGAAATTGGCCTTGGCAAGTGAAAAGGACCTCAGTGTTCATACAGCATGCTGTTTAACCCAGAAATACACAAGTGGCTAATGACCTGTTGCATTTATTGCAATGAATAAAAGCCATGTGATGCTGTAATGGCAGCGAGTACACTGACCTTTATCTCAGTGCTGCTACATATGCATATGCAGTTTAAATTCAGTGGTACTTCAGAACAAATGGAAAATCTGCCATAGTGGATTTACACCGTTTAAAAAATGAGAATGCTTTATAATTAAGCATTTTTCCACACAGACTAATTTCAAATACAAGTGTACACAAAGCCTTTATTATTAATATGTACTTGCAGAGTCAGATGTTATGGCAGTGTTAGTCACACACTGTGAGTTTTAGATCACGTTGTTTGAATCTAGACTGAGAGTCTGTGTACTAGTGCTTACTGCATATTCTGTTACTCTGTGTAAATGACTTTTACAAGTATTACATGTTAGATGTGGATATTAAAGGAAATGGTTTTCCAGAGAAGCCATGTTTTGCTTAGGGTTCCTTGGTTTTGCTTCTTTCTTTTTGGTGAACTTTCCTTCTCGTGTTCTGCTGGAAGAGAGCAAACTTTTCTATGAAGGTTGTGCTCACAGGGTAAGTATATTTTTCACTTAGAATATTAATCTCAAAATGCATGTAGCCAAAAAACCTTTTGTTTCTCAGGGCATCGAGTTGTCAGCAGAGGTCAAACCATTTGTTCCAAAATATGCAGAGGTAACTGTGGCATGGTCAGAACCCTCAGCAGCATGTGTCTTTCCTAGGTACTTAACTACAGGCTACACATTTGCTCAGGAACCATCTTTGGATAAGTATGTATATTTTCTGAATCTTATTTCTTGGAGGATTTTAACATTCCAGTTTTGGACATTGATTACTCTCAGAAAGTCAAAGCTCTGATGTGTTAATATTCTGACCAAATACATTCTTGCCCTTGTCCTCAAGATTTAGATTTCTATATTTCTATTCTTCAGGTGTATATCAGTATCTCACCTCTTGTTTCCAAAGGCCCATATTGGACTATTAAAGCTCATGCATGGACTATTAAAGACAGCTTGATTGTAATGATTATTCTGGCCATTTTGTGCTTTCAAAAGAGCTGAATCTTGTTCTTGAGTGAAAGAATGGTTGTGTTATGACAAAGCTGAAACAAACAGAATCAAGTAAGAAGGAAGAGGGACAACAATCCTCCAGGAGTGTTTTTGCTACCATGAATGTATGAGATTACTCCTCAATCTCCTTTTCACAACCTCCATGTCCCAGGAAAGTAAGACTTAGAACATAAGAGGCTTCTTGAAGTATTTTTCTAATGAGGCCTGAAAAACAGGCTTTCATAATAGATTTATAATTGGATTGTTAAGCCCAAAGCAGCCTAGAAGAAAGCCCACATACTGGGATAGGAAATAATTGAATACTGTAATAATTTTTTTATGTGATTTAGCTCTCCAGTTGCTTCTCAGGTTAGTAGAACTCTGAACATTGAATTGACTTTGGAATTACTGCAAAATTACTGTTATGTCCTTAAAAAGTTCATTTAGAGCCCTAGAGAACGTATTCATTCTAGGCTTTCTTAGTATGTCAGCCATTTTATTTACAGGGATTACTTCAACCCATTTTTATGTGTAATATGTGTTCAGCAATGAGATGAGTATGGTCTCACATAAAGTATTTTTTAGCATTAGAAAGATCAGGGACAGAAGTAGTATTCTCATGAGCGTTTTGCCCTGTTGGCGCTGAGCTGTAGTTTCTATTGTGACTCAGATGTATTACTTTTTTTTGTAAACTGATTATAACAGTTGTTTTGACTACAATCTATCAGAATTGCAGAAGCATCTTGTTCTGGTGGGACATTTTTCACTTTTTTATTACAGACCTGAGGTTGAGATGTTGTCCATTTTGTGCTGAACAACTTTGGATGCAGCTTTCTTTTTCCCTCACTTTTCTTTACTATTTTTATGTCAACGCATAGGTTTTTACTTTTCTTTTCCTTGAATTCTTTCTCCATCCCATTGTGAGGAAGTGAATGAATAGCTGTGTGGTGCTGAGCTGTCTACCAGGTCTCCCTTATCAAATCTGGATCTCAGTGTACAGTTTCTGCAGAAAGTATGGAGTGAAATTGGAAGGAAACTTTGAAGTTCACAATTGAAGGAAAGGCATGCCACAGACATGTCACAGAAAACATGTTGTGCTTTCATCAGTATTAGGGTTAACTGCAGTCCATTTACTGGCTGTAACAATTTTGTATTGTATTTCACACATGCTTTATGTCCCCGTAAGATGCTCCTACTTTGTTGTTATGACATCTTAAGATGGGTTTCACTGTTCAGTGTCTGTGTTTTTATTAGTCAAATGCATAATGCATCTTATGTAGTTCTACTGTGCTTTTGGTTTGTTTCACAAGAAAAAGCCTAACAAAAATACATGTGAAGAAAGTTAGCAACCTTAAACAGAAATGAGGGCTATAACTCTCCAGTAGACTAGGTTTGCAACTTGAAGCACGTAACATCTGTATTTTTAAGTATTTGCTACAAACTGCATATTTTATCCGAAACAAAATACATTATTTTTTAAAGAACATATGGCAGTGAGTGAATAGTTGGTTGAAATAACATGAAATACTTTTCATTTGGAACATAGCTTTCTTGTTAAACAAATTCTTCAGCTAAGGAATGACATATTTATGTAGGCAATAACTATATGCTGAAGATTTGCCTGGGGATGACCTCTCAATCTCTTTCTCAATGTCCATCACATAGTGTTGTGGGAGATCCTGCATTAAATGAATACTCCAGCAGCTCTTGCTCACGTGATGTTGTCTCAAATACAAATCCAGTAGCTGCCTCACAGTGTCATTCAAATGGGTCAACATACTGTAATGATTCCAGAATAGTCAGTGAATCTGCAGAACAAAAGTATCCAATCAGACAAGAAAGTAAGAGTCTTTTAAAGGTGAGCGAACACACTTTTAAAAAAATTAAATTCTTACTTTAAAGTAGTCTGAATGCTTTGTTCATTTTTGAAGTGACTAATCACTCTTTGTGTAGGAATAATGAGCAGTGCTTAAAGAGGATGATGGTATTAATGGGGTATTAATGAGGCCAACTTCAGATTTCAAAAAAGTTAATCACATTCTACAGTTAGTACAGTTTTCCAAAAAATGTTTTTGGAACATAAGAGGAATGTGTTGTTTTTCCTCATAAAGCAACACTTGGGTGAAAAAAAACAAAACCATATTATGTTTGTGAACCATGCTTTCCTTCATTTGCTGCTGGAGTTTGGTGCTTTTTTTAGAGCGCAGTAGCAGCAGCCTCCACAAGCATAAATTATAGAGAATTGACGGCTGTGATCAGTTGTATGGCCATTAAGTGATCGGACCGCATTTATTGTTCAAACATTTCCAAAGCCTGCTGCAGAAAACAATCCAAATAAGAGCAGGAACATATTGGAGTGGAGAGGGAATAAAGGCTCACATTAGAAGTACCCTCAGTCAAAAGTGAAACCGATGTTCAACAAAAATCTTCAGTGGTTTTTAGAGGGGAGGCAGTTCTGTGGTCTAAGTAAACCCAGGCTGAGCTGAGTACTGTTTGATGGTCTTTTTGGCACTCAAAATTTACCTTTTGGGATCTTTAAGAGAGAACTAGAACTTTGTGGCTTTGCAATAATTTGGTCACATCTCCTGGGGCTTTAATAATACAGCTTTCCAGGCCATGGAGTATCCTCCCACTCCAGAAAATAGTGTTGCTCCTGGATGTACTTAGAATTTAATTCCAAATCCTCTGAACAGATTTAAGCCATGTGTCTAGTTTGATGCAGCATAATTTGCATGGATGCCTGTTGCTTGCCTGCCTCTCTGATTCTTCAGCCCAATTCTGCCAAAGAGTGTCAAGAATCATGAGGCTTCAGGACTTCTGTATAGTATAGGTGAATATTTGCTTTATTGGGAACACGTACATATAGCTTTTCTAATTACACTCTGTTTGCTGTGTATGTTTGCTGTGTTATTACAACAGTCTTGTTTTGATTGTAACTTAGCTTAGTAAAAAACTTGGAATGCTTTTAGAATTTTAGCTCTTTTCTAGAAGAAACTCAGTTGCAGAAAATAAGAACTGGACAATTTAAGTCCAGCTGGTTATAAACTATTGATAATGCTGTCAATAATAGGATCTTAAATGTGTAGTTGCATAGAAATGTGGAATAATCCCTCTTGAGTGTATGTAATATGTGACACAGGTAGCACATTTAACAAGGAAAATAAAACACAGTAACAGACCTCTAACTGACTTTTGTTTTTTTTATGGTTTTTATGTTTTTTTTATGGGTTTTTGGTTCTGGTTTTGTTGGTTATATGTGGTTGTGGTATAGAATTCATTATGTATCTTCAGACTCCAGATATGTAGTTAGTTGACTGTAGTGCATGGAATGCTTGAAGATTTTTACAAAGTTAAAATAAAATTAACTAAATATATGTATTAACAAATACTTGCAGCAGAGGAAAGCAAAAGACGATGAAAAGAAATCAGACAAGAAAAAGCAAGATGGACAGGATTCTTCTGTCAGAATTGTGAAACGGGCTGCATTACAGACCTCTGCAGACAGCAAAGATTGCATGAAGCCAGGTACTATTGCTATTATAATGTGTATAACTAATGTGCTATTTGGTTTGAAATACATAGCATATCCATAAAATAGTCTGTACTGTAACTTCCAGTTTGTGATTGTGTTGCTACATCTAGAATAGTTAAAAAACAGAGTATTTTTTACTGTGTGACTTTTTGACAATGGATGATAGCAGTAAATTGTTTGGTGGTTGCATAAGCAAAATTGAAACAAAAATATTCCTCAGAAAGTATCTGAATTTACATTTGGTTGTCAATTTGGTATTGTCTAAACACATTGGTTATAATCATTAGATTTTTTTGTTCTGTTTTTTTTCTTTCATGTCAGGTATTTATAGCAATAATTCTTGTGACAATTGCTGTGACTGTGTCACTGGTGTGCTTTAAGACTTGTACAGAAATGACTGCAAGCAAGTTTTATTTTTTGGACTGTATTTGTTTTATTCAGACAGGTTCAATAAAACTGCAAGCAAGAAGTCAACTCAAGCTCCAAAAATAGAGTCTTTTCCTGCATTTGAAAATACTATTTTAGATTTCCACAAGTTGCAGAGTTTGGGAAGCAGTGAGATGTTGAATGTGCATCATAAAAATGGACAAGCATGTTCAGCGGAAAGTAACATTATGTGCCTTAGTCAACCACAGATGTCTCCTTTGTTGAAGACAGAGGTTAGCCATGCTTTCATGTTGTAGAACTCATAAAAATTCTTTTCTTTTCAAAGCTCAAGAAACTATTTTTGCATTCAGCATGTTAATACCTGCTTAAGTAGCTTGCAAGCAGGAAGTTTCATAGCTACAGGTTTTATGCTTTTTCTTGTAGAGGGAGGCATTAATGCTTGTGCTCCCTTCTTTTTCTCATTATTACTTCATTCTCTGTGCTGCTTGGGAAAGCCAAGCTCTGTCACATTCAGTTTGGTACTGCTATGATCTAAACTTCTGGCTTGTATATACAGAGCACATGTGTTCCCTGAGGTTTCTTGACAGCTTGTTTTTTCTCTCACTTTTAAATAATAAGCATGCAGCTATTTAGAGAAAAGTTTTAATTTGTTTAAAAACATATACATGTATGTAATTGTTACTTTGTGCTAAAAGAGGAAAAATTAGAAAGTGAATTCTAGAAGGAGGAAAAATATTGTTAATATGTAAAGATTGCTTAACATTCTTGTAGATTTTCATATTCCTAATTTTGCAGTTGTTGTTAAATGCAGTACTGACAGATTTAGGTGTTTGTCACATACGCTGAATCAGAGTTTTCAACAGTGGTTAGAGGTAAATGATTTTGAAGGATACAAATAGCATAAGACTTCTGGTACCTTTAAGTGAAAAACTGCTTGTAGTGGCAAAAATGAATGTTGCTATGTCTTTTTTCCATTGCTAGCTTGAACTTAATGGGTGGATGTAGTTTTCAGTGTTAAAACCTTTTCTTGTTCATTCTTAGAGTTGTTGTTTGGATGCTTTTGTAAAATGTAAGTAAGCATCTTGCTTGGACAACAGCAGAGAGGCATTTGCTTATATTTTAAAATATAATAGGGACCAAATGATGTTTCCACTAAGAATAATAATAATAAAAAAAAAGTGGGCTACAAAATTCTCTATGCCTTTTTGTCCATGTGGGTTGAAAATTTTGTTATTTCTTCTTTTTAATGTTTAGCTTTCTTGAGGCAAGTGCTTTTTATTCATACCTCTGTGATACCTGACCCTCAATTTTACAGGAAGCCAATTCTGTGGAAAGCAAAGCCTCATCAAAAACTTTAAAAGAAACAGTAGCAAGCTTAATTCCCTCTTCATTTGATGGTAGAGGTAAGTACTGCTAACATAAATTGTTTCCTCATATTTGAACTGCTTGTATCTCATCAATTTGGAATAATAAAGTATTGTCAAGAGCTGCTGAACTCTCAAATATATATGAAATCGAAGAGCAAACTCACTACGAAGTAAGAAAAATAAGTTTGTATCTTTTCTTCCAAATGAGATTATATTCTTGCATATAGATTTTGGTACTAGATCAAAACTGCAGTTGTCCTCTTTCTTTTGTCTCGTTGATGCTGAAGGACTAATGTTTCTGTGGATGCCTCCTATGCTGTTTATTAGGAGAGGAAATAATACAAATTGATTCCTGGAAGTCTGTTGAGGTGTTTTTTCAACAATAAATCTGAGCAAATATGATCAGTCTTGATAAGCAATTTAAAAAAAAAATAGCTCTCAGTCTAGAGTCTAGTATGTACTTCTTTGTTCTTCCAAAATTGTGTAAGAATTTTGCATTCTTATTCCAGTAACTGTGAAGTTATCTGATAACGTTTTTTCCTCAAGTAGAGTCTTCAGTTTGTACCCGACTGTAGAGCAGACTAAGGTTTTGACAGAGCCTTTATTTGAGAAATAGGCGCTATAGGAAAAGATATCAAAGAGGAATTAACTCACCCCTCCCAGTAACAGCTGGAAAAAGGGGTGAGCTGAGGAATGCAGCCTTCCTCGTTCATACTCTTGCACCACCCGAGAAAGGCGGGAAAGGAAGGGGAACCTGTGCAGACTCAGACTGCACAAGCACTCCCGGAAGTGCTGCCGAGAAAGAAAGGGTGGTGAGCTCCCCCCTGCTCCAGACACTCACGTGCTTATGTATTGGTTCAGGCTGCGGCCCTGGAATCCCGTGACACCCATGTAGCTTCTTTCGATGGGTTAACCTCAGTTGTCAACCAGGCTGCTTTTACCTTCCTTAAGAGGACAGGGGGAAAAAATAAGGTGAAAATACTTGCGAATCAAAGTAAAGACAGAGAGATTATTTACTGCTTACCATCGTGGTAATTAAATAGCTGTCATTTTAGAATTAGTATATACTTTTTTATTCTGTGGCATATCTTATTTCTTTACCGTTGTGGGCAAAACAGACCCAATTCAGAGAAGATTTATTTATTGCTAATTAAAGTAGGATGGTCCAAAACACAAAACTAAAAGCATCTTCCTCAACCTCACCTTCTTCACACGCTTGGCCTCTCCCAAATTTTCTACCTTCTCCCCTCCTTGAGCAGCACAGTGAGATGTGGAATGGGAGCTGTGGTCTATTGATATCAATTTCAATTTGCCACATCTCCCTTGTTCCACTTTGTACTGGTTTAGTATGAAGTCTCGAGGAAGATGGTCCTTCAGGAGTTGCACCAGTGTGGGTCCTTGCCAGGCTGCAGTTCTTAAATAACTGCTCAAGCATGGGTTCTCTCTATAGGGTAGAGTCCTTCATGGACAGACTGATGTGGTATGTCCCACATGAGCTGCAGCTCCTGCCATTAGTAAGCTGAAGTGTGGGTTCCCCACAGGCTGTAACTTCCTTTAGGGCATGGCCACCCCATGTCCTGTGGGGTCTTCCATAGGCAGCAGAGGAATTTTACTACAGGCTGCAGGGAATGTCTACTCCAGCACTTGGAGCACCTCCACCTCTCCTTTTTCTCTGACCTGGTGTCTGCAGGGCTGTTTCTTTCACAGTTTTCTCACCCAGTCTATCACAGTTGCTGCGCAGCATTTTTATTTTTTTTTACCCTTTCTTAAAAACATTACCCTAGCTGGAACTAGCTGTGGAGCAGCCCCTGACTTCTCACAGAGACCATGTGTACAAACCCCCTACTACCAAAACCTTGCCACATAAACCCAATAAACTTCTTTGATCTCTCATTGGCAAGTTTTTTGTTTTTTGTTGAAGCTGTGTATTTTTTATGTGTTAGGAGTATTTACAGAATGGAATGAGTAATTCTTCCAGAATGCTGATTCCACCAAGTGCTGGTGGATGAAAGTGCTGTGCATTGAGGCACATGAGGAGACTTTTTAGCTTGTTTTTATGTATCTACAAGCTGGAAGGTTTTTAGAATGTAGATGATGTTGATATAACCTTGTATTCAAAAGCTATGTAAGTTACAGTAAAGGAATTTAGTATATAAATGCAATACAAGTTCATAATTCTAAAGAAAAATAGGTTAGAGAATAAGCATGGAATTATGTAGGTTATGTGACAGTATAATTTCAAATTATAGCGTGTGTATTAAATATATGCATATAACACTGGCCAGTAGGTGAAATAGAATATAATGTGTAATTAAGCAACTTAATTTAGTTTTTCCTCAGAAAAAAGTATAGCTTTGCTCTGCATTTGCGAATCCTTGATAAATCCTGTGTTGATCCTATGTCTTCTGAATATTTGAGAAATATTTTCTGACATCTTTGGATATCACTTGTTTTTCCACATCAGTATTTCCTGGAACATCTACAGATGGCTCTGCTCAGCCGCGTGTGTCCTGGGCCATGGTACTTTCACAGTCCCCAAAGAAAACTTTTTCATCACCAGCATCTGAATGTCTCCCCAGATACAAAGGGAGGCAGGACAGTCAAGCAAAGGTAATTGACAACTCTGCTCTTGAAACTAATTTCTGGTACTGCTCAGTGCTGTTTCTTGACGTGAAACAATGCTACTCTTTCTTAGACTCTGTACTACTTCTAATGTAACTTTTAATAAGTAATACAAAGTTACCCTGTCATTATTATAATTTTTCTTCTGTTGTGGCAAAAGAAAAAAGAACAACAATGTATCAAAAAGTCAATGTAATTCCTGCAACACGAACTTCCAAAATAGCTGATTTGAATACACTTAATTTAGGCAGGAGTTTGTTGAAATTTTCAATTTCTAAATCAGGCACAAAGCATGGAAATCTTGTCCTTCCTGGATGAATATTGCCTAGTGAAATCTCGTATTATATTCTGACAGTTGTCAGTTCACATGAAGAGATCTTGCAGTACCTCTGAATTTCTAAGAAATCTTGGATTTTCCTAGTTGCTTAATATCCTAGCGTGGATTGATGCATGCTGACTAGGTGCATTGTGTAAGTGTGATCACTTGCATTTTTGTTGGTAGGTGATAATAAAAGAAAGCAATTTCTAACGGTCATACCTCATGATTTTTGTCAACAGGCAGAAATAAAAAATTATGGTAGTGAAACTGAGCTTGAAGAAGGGTCAGAAAAGAAGAAGAAAAAGAAGAAAAAGAAAAAGAAGAACAAGTCACCTGCTGATGTAGGCAAGCCTTATAATGAATCTACTACAGTGCAGGAACCGCCGAGGATTGAGGTACAGCAGTGGGGTTTTTTTAGTGTGATGAGTATGTATTGGAAGACCATAAGTTTCTGTAAATTTAATATCACATGTTATTAGTAGAGGAAATTGGGTCAGGCCCATTTCAGTTAAGATTCCTGTTAGAAGTTAGAGGTAGGAAACAGTTCTGCCTTTTAATTTATTAAGGCTTGAATGAGTATATGAATTCCTGCAGGCGAGACTGTTAAATCTGTGTATTAACAAGTTCCAAAAAAGATTTACCAAGTGAAAAATACTCTGTAGTAATGGTTTTGTAAAGCAAAGTGCACAAAGAATGGGAAGTATACTGGATACCATAGGGTGCCAAAATTTTAAAGAATGTGGTACTGGTAATACAGTGGAAGGAAGGGATATCATTCACAGGGTCCTCAACAGACTTGAAAGGTGGGCTCAGGTGAATCTAACGAGGTTCAACAGAGCAAAGTGCAAGGTTTTGCTCTTGGGCCAAAGGAATCCAAGGCATTTATACAGGCTAGAAAGAGCAATCCTTGTGAGTAGCCTTGCAGAGAAGGACCTGGGGGTCATGATGGATGAAAAATTTAACATGAGCCAGCAGTGTGCTCTTGCAGCTCAAAAAGCAAATGGTATCCTGGGCTCTATGAGAAGAGGGGTGGACAGCAGGAACAGGGAGGTGATTGTGCCGTCTGCTCTGCTCTTGTGAGGCCCCATCTGGAATACTGTGTCCAGGACTGGAGCCCCACGTACAAGAAAGACAGAGTACCTAAAGTGGGCCTATAAACAGGAAGGGAATCAGCTCTTTGAAAGGGTAGATAACAGCAGGACAAGGGGAAGTGGTTTTAAGTTCAGGGAGGGAAGATCTAGGTTGGATATCAGGGGGAAATTCTTTACAGAGAGTGGAGAGGTGCTGGAACAGGCTGCCCAGGAAGGTTCTGGGTGTCCCATATCTAGAAGTATTCAAGGCCAGGTTGGATGGGGCCCTGGGCAGCCTGGTCTAGTATTAAATGTGGAGCTTGGTGGCTCTGCCCATGGCAGGGGGGTTGGAGATTCGTGATCCTTGGGATCCCTTCCAACACAGGCCATTCTGTGATTTTGTGATCTCAGTCTGGAAACAATTCTTATGAAATGTAGATGTCACTGTTTATATTCCTGATTATTTATTCAAATCTTTTTCATATTCATGTAGCTGTAATATACACATTAGTGTTTTGATGCTTTTGTGAATCAGTTTCAAAAATGCTTTAGGCTCTCCCACCTTACAGAATTGTTGTGTGATCTGTGGTTTAACTATGTTTCATTGTAACAGCAATATTGAGTAAGAGTATGAGAATGTGTTGATTTTTGTGTTTGATTTAGTGCACATTATATTCAGTCTGTGAAAGAATAGCAAAAAGAAGCCATTCCTGGCTGACTTCTGTTGTGTACATTTTAACTTGGAGTGTGTAATTCATTGTCCTGAAATGGGAATTCATTATTGAATTGTGGATAGAATCAAGATCTACAGGTTCTGTTCTGCAAGATATCAGGTCTGTGAGTGGCTTAGTATCTAAAGAGAAAGAATGGCAAGAATTGTAGAAGTTAGTAGAAATGTCATGTCTTATTGAAGACATAAATGAAAAAAATAAACATAGAATCATAGAACAGCATGTACGTTACGTTGAAATCTGTGATTTGGATGCAGCGTATGGGAGGGGAGTTGGGAACAGCTTTCAGAGCCTCCTGGTTTGATGGAAAAGCTCATCAATATGAAAAATGTGTGAGATGCTTATGATGCTCTTGAAACAGAAGAACATGAAAAGTCATAGATAACTTCTGTGGACTTTGAGATTTTAAGAATTGGGATTTTGTATTTGCAGCTGCTCACTGGATCAGTGTATTGGATTGCTAACTAGATTTATAGAAGTCACTAATTTTAAGAACCTGCTAATGAGTGAAAAGTAATGCATTTGCAGAAAAGAAATCCTGTACACAATGATTGGTTCTGAGCTAGGTATTGCTGAGGGAAGAAATGAGAAGCTCTTACTGATAAGCAGCTCTGCTCAGAGGCACTGGTCCAATATGCAAACAGTGTTAGGAATCATCAGAAAAAATATGAAATATAATTGAAAACATTACGACAATATACAAATCCAGGGCAGATCTGATCTAAATATAGTGTGGTTTCTACTTTCTTATGTGCCAGCTCTCCTTAAAAAAAAAACACATATTGAACTAAGAGAGATACAGGAAAGGCTCCAAAAATGATCAAAGGTAGAAATAGTTCCTGTGGGAGGCAAAAATGAATAAAGTAAGATTTCTCTGTCTGTAAAATAGATGTTTCAGAAGGAATTGGATGATAAAAAGGAAATTCTTGTGTTCTCATTATTTTGTTTGATGTCCTCTTGTTCCTATAGGTGCCAAGTTAAGAACAAATAGAAGGAGGTATTAAACCACACTGAGTGCTAGAATTTAACTATTCCCTTTACTACAGGATGTTGCAAATGACTGAAGTGTATGTGAATTCAAGAAGTGATTTGGACAAACTGAAATAACTATTTGCTCTAATGAGGGCTATTTAAATCCAAAGATACTACTTCTGATTGCAGAAATCCCTAAGATGGAAGAATATATTTGTGAAACCCCTTTCTTACAGTCTTCTTTTGACCTACTTACAAGCTTCTTTCAAAAATATTTTGTTTAGTTAGAAGTATCTGCTCAGACTGAACATGCTTGTTCATAGGTGTCCTAGCTCAGGCTGTTTAAATTGAATCTTCCAGGCTTCAGAAGAAAAGGTGGTATGCTTATTAGTATTGTAACTACTAGAAGCCTAACAAGGCCTCTTAGATAGAGAGGAGAATCAAATGGATGAAAACCAGGCTGGTGGATCAGAGTCATTCTGATTGAATTAGCAAGCTCTCCTGGACTTAAGGTGGTCAGCATAGAGAGAGCTCCAGCCTGTTAGTGTCTTAATTAATCTAGAATGTGGATAACATATTCTCTGCTAAGTAAAATACACTTGTAACTCAGCCAACATAACCCCTTCACTGATTTATCTGTTTATTCCCCTACTGGTAGTCAAGATTTATTACCCTTTTACCTGTTGTTTTGATTTTCAACACTAACATGTTTAAGGTAGAGTTGCAGAGCTGGAGACTGTACTGGAAAAAGAGGAGAGTTGTTTGCAAGGCAGTTAAATGATCTGAAAAACACTGCTTTAGGAGACATTTACTTCTGATTATTTGTATCAGCTGATAGCAATAACAAGCTACCATTAGAAGCCTTTCTTTCTAGGTTCGTCCTTTTAGCCTTGAATTAGTTACTACTGTTTAGGTGACTTAACTACTGTAGAATTGATTATAGTTTGTGGTCCAGCACTCAGCTTTTGAATTTTGTACATAGAAGCAAACTGTGATGAGTGATAAGCAGAAAGAAAATCATTTGAATGTTGGAAAAATCAGTTTTAGTAATATGAACATAATAGTTGTTACAAATGTAATGTCCTGTTTCTTGTTTAGGATGCTGAGGAGTTTCCTGATCTGGCAGCTGCTTCTGATCAGAGAAACAGATTAGGATCTCAGAAAACATCATTTACTTCTGCTGGCAGAAAGCAATCTGAAGTAAGTAATCTTATGAACGTAACCTGAATGTTAAGAAAATAAGCAAGAAAAGACCACTTGTAGTCTGAACCAAAGAGTTCAGACTCTTTGGTGTGTGAACTGCTGTAATAGAATCATGTAATGGCTTGGGTTTTAAGGGACCTTTAAGACCACTTAATTCCAAGCCCTCTTCCAAGCCACCCACTGGATCAGGTTGCCCAGGATGCCACCACGCTGGCCTTGAAAACCTCCAGGGATAAGGCATCCATAGCTTCATTGGGCAGATTGCTCCAGCAACTCACCACCATGTGAGTGTTATTCCTAACACCTAATCCCAATCTACTCTCTTAGTTTAATACTGTTCCCTATGTTTGATCACTATATACCCTTGTAAAATGTCTCTGTCTTAATTGTAAGTTTCCATTAAATTCTGGAAAGCCATAGTGAGGTCTCCCCAGAGCCTTCTCTTCTCCAGTCTGAACACATGCAGGTCCCTCAGCCTGTCTTCACAGTAGAGATGCCTCAGTCCTTTGAGCAACTTTGTACCCACTCCAAGAGCTCCACATCTTTCTTATGGTGGGATCCCAGACCTGGATGCAGTACTTCAGGTGACCTCAGGAGAGCAGAGCAGAGGGAGACAGTCACCTCCCTTTTCCTGCTGGCTACCCCTCTTTTGATGCAGCCCAGGATATAGTTGACCCTCCTGGGTGAAACTGCACACTGCTGGTTTGCACCAAACTTTTCCTCAACCAGTACTCCCAGGTCCTTCTCCAAAAGCTTCTCTCAAGGAGTTTTTGCAGCCTGTATTGATACCTGGAATTGCCCTGCCCCAAGTGCAACATCTTGGATCTCGTTAGGTTCACGAGGGCCCACTTCTCAAGCTTGTGCTGGTCCTTCTTTATGCCATCTTGTATGAACTGTACCATTCAGCTTGGTGTTGTCAGCAAACTTCCTGAGGGTGCACTCAGTTCCACTATCTGTGTCACTGATAAAGATGTAGAATAGCATAGAGGCCCCTGGGGGACACGACTCATGACTGGTCTCTAGCTCTGTGTACACAGCTGTACATAGAGCTGTTGAGCACAACCCTCTGGTTGAGAACATCCAAGCAATTCCTTACTCACGGAATCCATTCTTCAGATCCAGCTGTCTCATATCGAAGGCCTTGCAGTTGTCCCGATTATCATAGAATCATAGAATGGCTTGGGTTGAAAAGGGACCACAATGATCGTCTAGTTTCAATCCCCTGCTATCAGCAAGGTCACCAACCACCAGACCAGGCTGCCCAGAGCCACGTCCAGCCTGGCCTTGAATGCCTCCAGGGAGAGGGCATCCACAACCTCCTTGGGCAACCTGTTCCAGTGCCTCACCACCCTCTGTGAGAAAAACTTCCTCCTAATATCTAACCTAAACCGCACCATCTCAGTTTAAAACCATTCCTCCTTGTCCTATCGCTATCCACCCTTGTAAACAGTCTTTCCCCCTCCTGTTTGTACACTCCCTTCAAGTATTGGAAGGCCATAATGGGGTGTCCCCACAGCCGTAGGTGATATCAGTTGCTTTTCTTTTGTCCACTGATGCCGTCACTCAATCATTGAAAGCCACCAGATTGATCAGTAATGATCTTTCTGAGTAATCACCCTGTCATGGAGTTGTCTCTCGATCTGTCTGTGTCCATGACAGGGAGACAGCAGGCCCACTGGCCCAAAAAATGGAAGTGGGGGGGAAAGCAACAAAGAGGGAAAGGAGTAAATAAAAGAAAACCAGTGGCAACGATCTGAGGAAGAAAGCTAATTTGCTAACTCTAAGGGGAAATACATGTTGATTGGGATTGAAGCTAATAAACCAAACAAATGAATGTCCTTATGTAATGCTGAAGGTGAGACAGCTAGGGAGCACGCACAGCAGAGATGAGCAGTAAAAAGAAAAAGGGCAATCTTGTGACTTGCAAACAGTTTTATCTTTCCCTCTAAATGGAAAATGGAAATGGAACAGTGAAAGTCTTCTGGGAGTTATAGTTGACCTTCTCTTCTGAGAACCAGGTTCCCAGAAATACCGACTATCCACAGAACTGGAGCATTAACTCTTTAACTCCCAGTGCTCTACCTGATGTTATGATGTGGAATACCGATAACAAAAATCATAAAACATGACACACCTCCTTTTCTCACCTATGCCTTAACATTATTTCCAGGGATTACCTGACTTTTAATTGGGACATAGGTGTTCATGCTGTAATTGTAAGACAAGTTAAAGTGAGGTGAGGTAAATTCTGTTAATACAGGTTATTGTCCTACAGGTAATGTTGTAGTTTATTTTTGCATTTATAAAAGGACAGAGAAATTATAGTAAGGCTCTTATTCTGTAGCTTTTCCATTTGTGCATACAATTAAATTTCATGGGCATATTTGCTGTCGAACTCTAGAAAAGTTAAGAACCCAGGTCTGGCTTTGATTTAAAGTCCAGGCTGATTTTTTTTTTTCATTAATGAAATGAACTAAGGATTCATTTTGAAATTCATTGCATTTGAGAATGAATCTCAAACATAAATTACAGGGATGCTCATAATAAATAATGAAGGGAAATGTCAGGTTTCTGTTTCTTTGGAACTAGTTTTGCTGCTGGAAATTTTTGTCCTTAGTTTTATTTCACTGTGAGTACTAACAGTATTTAATAAAAAAAAAAAAAAAACAGAACACAGTTGTTTGATTTCTTGGAGGCAGTAAATTTCACTGAGAGTCAAAGCAAAACACAGTATGATTGCTGAAACCACATTTGCTGTGAAGGAAATGCTTTGCAGACTTGTGGCTTACATGAAAGAAACCTTCAAGGTTTTGTAAGCTTCAGTGGGATATCGCCTCTCAAAGCATACACAGACTGTAGAGATATTACCATAAAGTCGCTTATATTCCTCTGTAACAAATATTTGAAAAGAAGAATGCCTTTCTTTTTATAATTCCAAATCAGAAAATGAGGAAATAACGAGTCTATTGTAATATTGTGGCAGCAGATAATGAGGTAAATGACAGCATCCTCTTGTTTCAAAACATTCAATAGTAATTATTGCTAACTCCCTATTTGTGTTGCAGTTTTTAGTGAGAAATGCTAGCTTTTCACTTGTGCTTGTAAGCTTCGCTGTCCGGAGCTTTTCTTTTCCGTTTTACTTGGTCATGACGTAAATCTGATCCTCACTGATTGTCTTACATTGAGAACTTCTGGCAGAAGTGGTTCAGCCAGATTAAGACATAGAGATCTGCTTAGCTGGAGCAAAGAGATAAACACGAAAGTGAGGTCAGTCAGTGGGTTGTGACGTAGCTCTGATGCAGGTAAAGTTGTGGTCTCAGAAAGAGGAGATTGTAGTATTTAGTTGTATTATAACAGAGGATATGATTAAACTTCCAGAGTATGTACAGTGTCAGTGAGTTATTTCCTTAACATGTTCTGGAGTTACAATTTATTCTTTCCTAGTCTTTACTGAACTACATATTTGTAATCTTTTTGCATTTTGAATCATTACATGTAGTGCAGATATGGGACACCACTTTAAGCTTCTCTTCAAAGCAGACAGAGAGACTACTGCTTATGAGGAAATACTACTTAGGGAAAAGTTGGTGACTTTTCCTTTATCAACCAAAAGACGTTGAAGATAATGATGTATGTATATTGCAATCACATGCTCTATAGGAATCACACTTTTTTCACAGTACTTTCATAAAAACTTTAAATTCTGACTAACCTTTTTTCTTTTTCAGAGATAGGTGGTAGTTTGGCCAAAGTGGGATACTGACACAAGGCACCCGCTTTAATAAAGACTCAATTTTATATGCTTTATTCTAGTAGCTATTGAAAAGCAAAAATACATTATTTGAACTGTTTTTGACTTTTTCTCATTCACATTAAAGGTAATGTGTATCTGAAGATCAAAATAATTCAGTAAATTCAAGGTAAAAATGAGAAGAATTGTGAGTGAGGGAGCTAAGAATATATTTCTGCATTCTGAAATGAAAAGCATTCCTAATCTGTATTGTCTTTGTTCAGGAAACATCCAAGAGCAGTGGTAAGAAGAGTCAAATTCCTGTGCAGTTGGATTTAGGTGGCATGTTGGCAGTCTTGGAGCAGAAACAGCAAACAGAGAAGTCCAAACAATATTCTAAACCTGTGGTGTTTTCAGGTATTGGTTATAATTAAATTTACTTTCTTTGTCTTTCATCTTCAGTTACAAGTATTCAAACTTCTAAATGCCTCCTGATTCTGATATGCAGTGATTTGTGAAGCAGGAGCACAGTTCAAACACGCCAGAGTCACATTATGCTTTCTGCAGATCTTTGTTTTAAAAATAAAATAAAATCTGAATTGTTTGGAGGAAGACTTGGGGAAAGAAAAATCTTTAGAGCAATGAGTTGTGAAAGAATACCTGGTGTAACCATTAGAAGTTTTAAAAATTGAGTTTTGAGGAAAATAGTGATGTTTTTAAAGGTTTTTGCTTTGTCTTAGAATCTAAGTGTGTTGCTGTTGTGATACAAGAAAGTTCTTTGTGATAACAAATGCCATCTTAAATTCCATTGATGCTAGAAGGTCTCAGCTGTAACAAAAGCAAAAAAAATACTCCTTTGCAAATACAGGTGGGAATCAGTCAGCCCAAGTCAAGGGATGAGTTCTGTTGTTCCTGATAATTGTGAAGTAATTGCCATTTAAAAAGTGCTACATTTTGGCATTTTGGTAATAGAATTCATCAAACTTTGTTGATGTGTATACAGGAAACAAATAGTTCTGTGTATTTTCTGTTGAAGGTGTAAATTTGGTCTTGATTGTGTTAGTGCCTCATGTTTTTCAAAAAGAAATATGATGTTTGCTAGAGTTAATGATGATAAAATTTCTCACCTTATTTTGGCACTATGGAAGAAGAGCTAATCAGAGGAGCGTTAATCTCATAATGTTTAATATGATTTCTGTGAGTTTTTTAAAAAAGCTAAAAGTACCAAGCCTCATTGAGACTTCGCTGAAAGATTTGTAAGAGTTTTTTTATTCTGCTCTTGATTTTTTTCCTATCATTTGAGCCAGCCAATGCTGCAGAGATGCTAGCAACCAGTTTTGATTGTATATATTTATATAATGCAGGGACTGTAAAGTAGGTAATAAGGCATAAGTTTATGGATCACAAGACTTACTTTCTAATGTTCCAAATATCTGAATCTGCTGCACAAGATAAATTAATGTGTCATGTTGATATCTTGGAAGTATAAGGCAGATGTTACCTCACCTTTGTATTTTGTTTTATTATTACTCAGTGCTGTTAAATCAGCATACACCAGAATGGAACTTTATTTTATAATATGACATTGTGCTGAGCTCTGTAGCCAGACAAGAAGCACAGAGAGCAAGAAAGGCAAGGAATACAGCTGTGGAGGAAGTTTAGTATTTCATTCTGCTTGCTACTTCATTTAGAGAGTAGTATATAGATGGAAAAACATAGTAAAGTAGTAGCCATTTGAATTTAAAAGTTCAATTTTGGAAATGCACCTGTTATTCAAAATGGCAAACTGTTGAAGCCATCATGTTCAGTGATAATAAATGAAGAAATGAAGTACACAGTGAATGAAGTATTTGGTGCCTGCAGGATTTATACTTATATAATGCTACAAATCCAGCTTTAATTCTTGTCTTTGCCTGTGCTAGCACACAGCACTGCATTCTTGGCAGTGTTCTCAATTTGCCTTTGTTACACGGGACCCCAAAAAGAAAAGTTGCAATGTACAGTTTTATGAAATAAGCTGCTTATGTTAGTTATAGTATATGTGACATTGGAGGTTTAGTGTGTAAGTGCTTTGAATGGCTTAAGGCAAATTGCCAGAAACTTTGTGTAGTTTTTAGTGGAATGACGTTTTCTCAGGTACAGAGATGTCAAACAGATTCCACTGTTATTTATGTCATTCTGTTCGTTTACTTGGTAATGTAACCTAGTTTATATTACAGATCCTGGAAGTTTGACAGAGTGCTGTCACCATCATACAGCAATTTTTAGTGATGTAAGCTGCAAGTGGAGTCTTGTTGTTAGGTTGCGTTTTGACAGGTTCAGGTTCAGTCACTTAATCAGTCATTTAAAGCTCCTCTGCCCTGAGCCCTCAGAATAATGCAGGTATAGTAGGCATCCAAGGCCATCCTTGTTGAGCAAAAGAGACTTAGCAGTATTTTTACTTTGTTTATTACTTACTTGCAAATGAACTTCAACCAACATTAATTAGGAATGGTTGAATAGTTGGAGTGACTGCACCAGATTACTTACAGCAATTAAATCTAAAAACTTTAATCCTAGAACTCAGTATTCATATTAACACAATACAAAACGTGAGCATGGAGAAAGAAATGCCATTACAGTGAAACCTGGAGATTCCTGAAGGTTTATTGAGTTGGAATGGTTTAGTACTGAAGGTAGCATGGAGTGCAGTGATTTGCCAAATTCTGCTTTTGAGATACAGTTTGTGATTCCAATTGCATAATGGTAGTAGAGGAAATGTCATTAACTTTCTGGAAGTAAAGAAGAATCTTTATTGAAGAGTACTGTTTCATGACACAGGGTTGCCTGTACGCATTTTTAATAGCAACACAACACAAATGTAGTATATACAGTGACTGCAACAGGGCTAGTATATTCTTGCATTGGATTTTGGCTTAGCTATTTTGTTACAGGTGTCTGACACAGACTTCTTTTTTATCTCAGTTGCTGGTGCCATACCATTGCTTTCTAAAGAATCTGCTACAGCCACAAAAAATCATCGGTTAAACCAAGAAAAGATGCCTCATAACCCCTTGGATTCCAGCGCTCCTTTGGTGAAGAAAGGAAAGCAGAGAGAAGTCCCTAAAGCAAAGAGACCAACGCCTCTTAAAAAGGTGCTGATATTTTTACATTAAATAGTTACAGGCTAATAGTTACAGGCTAATGTGAATTTAGTATTACTCAGAGTTAGTTAAATCTTGTAGTACAGAGATCTACATCTCAGCTTCCACTTGCCTAAATTCAGTTCTAGCTTTCCTTGGTTTAAGAAGAAAAAGGGAAGGAGAAGTCTTGCCAAATGATGTATACAAATTCACATCAAAATGACTCAATAGCTGAAGAACTGCCTGTACAAAAGTGCGTGCAAATGATTGTTGCAGAAGGATATCCAAATAAACTTTGTTTGGTTTGGACAGGATATGCTTATTTGCAGGACTGAGGAGAATGGAACAAGCAGTTATTAATTAATGTGTCTGTACTCTTCCAAGCTGGGACTTCTGCTGACTCCAAAAGCTAGCGTTAGATCAGCCAGGGGGTTTTTCTTTTTCGCTTTGCCCATTCATATTTTTCATTGTCACACCTTCTATACTAAGTATTTTGATACTACTGATTTCATATCTAGCATTTTCCTTTCCTCATGTAGCACTCCATCACTAGTTTTTGCTTTGATCAGTAGTTATTCTGTTCTGCTTAGTTGAGTTTGATACTGTATAAAATGATAACAAACTCTTGGGGGATGACAGTAATTACTTTATGTCTTTGGCTGCTCTGTCTTCATTTATTTTCCAAACTAGGTCTGAGAAGACAGAGATCTACTCTGTCTCTGTAATGTTTGTGTTTCTCTGTAATGGTAGGAAACTTATTTTTATTCTTCATTCTTCCTTTCAAACACAAAAGGGTAAATTTATTTGGGCAATTAGCCTCCATTACAAACTTTGAGCATATGAGCTGAGCTAGTAGCCATGTGTACATTAAGTGCTTCTTAGCCAGCTAGAAAGGTAGAAAATGAGTTTTAAAAAGCATTTAGTTCTTTTACCTGCAGCAGCATATTTGAATCAAGCAGGTCTTACCTTCCTTCTTCTGTGTACCGTGCAGATGGTTATCTATTTATTGTTTTTAACTTCATCCTGCAAGTTCAGAAACAGCAGTGCAATACAGACTGACTTCGACTTTCTGACAGGAGAGCAAGTTGGCAAGGGTAGATTCGTAGTTAAGTGAACTACACTGCATGTGATACAACGTGGGCAGGGCAAAGGGAGGCAGAGAGCGTTTGTTGCTGAGCTGTATAGCTACAAATTGACAGTCTACAGAAGAAAGGTAGAGAGGAGGGCATTTCACTTGCTTAACTTTCTCTTTGCCAGCTAGACAGATCGTTAGAAATGCTTTTCTCCACCCAAACACTAGTAGTCCAGGAAAAAGAATTCTTTGCATATAGATTTAATATTTTTCCTACTCTATAATGGTGCTTTGAGGAACTACAGCATTTTTATGTAAATTAAAAAAATACATGTAAACTTTAAATGGTAGTACCAGTTTTATTTTTGAGTGGTCTGTACGTAAGTACCCGATAAGAGAAACTGCTTTGTGATACTGATTTTTAATTTATTTTTGTTTTTTAGATTATTTTGAAAGAACGAGAACTGCGAAAACAGCAACACCTGTTAGAACAGACAGCAGTACCAAAGGATGGAGGTAATTCCTGTGTGTCTGCAGAAAATGCTACTGAAGATGAAGCACTTCCACAGGATAGTCAAGCAGGTATTTTTCAGGACAGTCCTTTAATACAGTACATAGGTTGAGATCTGTGAGTGAGTACACTTGATACTTTAAAAAATAGTACTAAGTACTGCCAAACAAAAACTGTATTTTTGGAATTTTCAGTGTTCAGTATGGGTTTATCTAGAGTAAAGTATGCCTAAATTGTACTCTCTGTAACTGAGTAAGAGGTATTCAGATTATTGCTTCACACTTAAATGCTTAATGGATTTATATGGCATCATGAGACTGTCTTTCTGGCAATCAGTTTTAAAAAGAGGTACGAGAGAAAAAGAAAGCTAAACGACTTGTTTTCCTGTTACTACAGACTGCTGTGGTACTGAAACAACTTCAGGAGATAGAAAATTTACAAATCAGTCTCTTCACAGCACTTTTGTTTGTCTTTTTATTGAAATATCTTTATTTGCATGATAGTTGTTCCTGTAATGCAAGTTGTAGAAGGGCTTCTGGGGAGCACAGAGATCAAGGAATCTACAGAAAGCTCTATGACTTCAAAGCAGTCAACATCTAATCTTCCAAAAATCCATAGTAGAAGATTTAGAGAGTAAGTATGGATTGTACTGATGTTTGTTTTTTCTGCAATTCCACAAATATAGCATTTTTTAACAACGTATATTAAATGTGTTCTGTGCAGCACTATTTGGATTAATGATTCCACTTTTTTTTTTTCAGTTTTTCTGTAAGCTGGCACACAAATGAAGAAATGATATCCAGAGAAACATGTCTGTACATTGTTGTAATATTCACTTTAGAATACATGATCCTTGCAGGGAAAAAAAAAAGATGAGAAATTTTTGAGAGGCTAAGGAATGAAAAGGAGCTGCTGTTTAGTATGAGTGTTGCATTAATAAGAGTACCAGTTTAATACTCAACAACTTATTTCCAGTGTATAGTTTGGTTTTCTGCTACCAGCCAAATGGCAAACATGTGAAGTATGTGACTAGTGAGATGACGTTTTCATGCTGTGCAAGGCAAGAAGACTTGCTATTTATTTTGTGCAGACACTTCAGTTTTGTTTAAATAGATACGTGTATGCTTCCTTAGTAAAAAAGAAATAGTCCTCATTATGTGTGAAAAGGTCAGAAATCCAGTGTAGTAATTATGACTGGTTTTAACAATTGTGAACAAAGAGTTTAACTTCTGATTTTCCCTTAAGGGTACCATTGTCCCATTGTCCTTCTTTATAATTGTTGTTATTGTAAATATTAATCTTGATACCACTGTCATTTTATCTCTTGCCATGTATTAATTTAAGTTATTTGCTTGAAAAATTACTTAATTGATGTTTATGCGACAGTGTTTTACTGACTGCCCTGTTCGAATTTGCACAGGGGGCTGGTCTGTCCGCTAGGAAGTGTAGAACATTCAGCTAAAAATACTTGGTATCTTTAGATTAGATTTTCTGAGTTTTTCAGTATTCTAGTTGACTTTGAGATTTAGTGAAAAAACTGGGAACAGTAAATAAAAAAAAAAAACTCTTTGAAGTTAAGTAAAAGTTTGTATGTCTTCGAGAGCCAGGATAGATCCTGCGTTTTCTTCTTGTAATGGTATGTGAATTTACCACTTGGCATCTTCTTCTGGGTGTATAATTGAGATATCTCTAGTTTCTTTCCTTGATATCCTTCCTCAGTGAATGATTGTGTAAAAGATGGAGAAAAATTAATATGGAACCCTCATGTTTCCCAGGGAATACCAGAAGGATGGAGTACATCTGTTATCATCTTCTCCTTATGAAAACTAGAAGGTTGTGGTTTGATAGCTGTGATATGTGAAACAGGATGAAAGGCAAACAATGTGAATCTGGGAAGAGAAATGTATTTCAGATTTCCACCTTCATCATGAGTAGCAATATATTTAAAGAAGACTTTAAATATACTGTTTGTTGTACTGTCTGATTTAGATGTCAGAAAAAATGCTTCAATGGAAAAAAATACAAAAACATACTCATACAAATATATATATGGGTTTAGTGTGTTCATTTATATATACTGCATTATGTTTTAGTGTAGTTTGTTAATTGTGGAATTTAACAGTTTTCTAAATTTTTTCTGTAAGTTCTTAGTTACTGAAAAAAAATCCAAAGTAATTTTTTTTTGCTTTTATGTCACAAGTATGTGTGGACTGGGGGTAGAAAAAAGGCAAAGACGTATTTGTAATTTCAGAGTTGTTAATGTTTAATTTGTTCCTTCTTCCAGTTATTGCAGCCAAGTACTTAGTAAAGAAGTTGACAGTTGTGTGACAGATCTCTTGAAAGAATTGGTTCGGTTCCAAGATCGTTTGTATCAGAAAGACCCAGTAAAGGCGAAGATAAAACGCAGGCTTGTTATGGGCCTTAGAGAAGTTTTGAAACATCTGAGGCTGAAAAAACTGAAGTGTGTCATCATCTCTCCTAACTGCGAGAAGATTCAGTCAAAGGGTAAATAAGATACAAAAAAAACCAAAAAAAAACAAAAAAAAACAAAAAAACTTGTGTTTTTTTTTTTGTTAATTTTGTTGTCTGCTCCAGGTGGATTGGATGAGACTCTTCACAACATTATCGACTGTGCCTGTGAGCAGAATATACCATTTGTTTTTGCTCTTAATCGCAAGGCCCTGGGTCGCTGTGTGAACAAAGCAGTGCCTGTGAGTGTAGTGGGAATTTTTAGCTATGATGGAGCTCAGGTGAGTTAAAAAATAAACTTCAGGCTTTTGTTTTGCTTTACTTAGTTTTTAGCTTTAGGGGAAAAAAATAATTCTAATTTTGAGGTTTTATTTTGCTTTTGCACACTATACTCTTAATCCCAAATTAGAGATTTCTATGTGAAGTTAATTATGAATGTATGACCACTCAGCACTTTTTTTTTTAAAAAAAGTGATTTTGCTGTCTCTTCCTAACATCATTTCCACTTAGATCTCTTATCAAAATGCCTATTTCCAAAGATGTTATGTTTCTGTTAATGCTTGTTTTGTTTTTCATACTTCGATAACAAGTAATCTGGTGCCGAGCTGCAGCATTTAATCAAACAGTGGATGCTCTTAAACAATCTTCTTGCAGGTGGGGGAAAAGCTAAGGTCAAAAGTGAAGTCAACAGTATGGAGCCAGGTTCTTTTTGTGGTGCGCAGTGACAGAACCAAGGGGCAGTGGGCACAAACTAGAACACAGGAAGTTTCATATGAACATGAAGAAGAACTTCTCTACTGTAAGGGTGACAGAGCGCTGGAACAGGCTGTCCAGAGTTGTTACACAGCCTCCTTCTCTGGAGATATCAAGACCTACAGAGAAGGTTTCCTGCGCAGCCTACTATCGAGAACCTGCTTTAACAGTGGGTTGAACTAGATGATCTCCAGAGGTCTTTTCCAGCTCCTACAGTTCTGTGATTCTTTGAATATGGAGGGCAGTTTTAAACATCGCCTTGTTCTGATTAGCTGAATACATGTGTGAATGAATCACCAAGATAGATTTGCCATGAAAATGGATGTAATGTGGACAGCAGCTTTTTTAAGCTTGTGTGGACAAGCTTCGCTCGTTGTTTTTGAAAAAAATTCCATTCATGATTTTGCAGTAAAATATCCATACTATTTTACTAAAAAGACAGTTTATGTTTGAACTTTCTATATAAATATCCATATGTTTTGAATAAGGGATGTCCATTACAGATTTCCATAAAGATTTTAAAATTTTGTGTGATAAAAGTTTATACTAATATTTCCTTAGGATCATTTTCATAGAATGGTACAACTGACAACAGAGGCCAGGAAGGCCTACAAAGATATGGTAGCAGCTTTAGAGGAAGAAGCTGAAGGAAGACAAACAGAAACTGAACTCAGCATCATAACCACTGAATTTGAAAAAAGTTGCTTGTCAGAAACTGGTAAAACTTCTCCCAAGGACAATGATGAGGATATACCAAATTACAGTGAGTATTTATTGACTTATTTTTAATTCAAGTTTTCAGTCTGCTTTACCGTTTTCACTGAAACTAATGGCACCTGGCATGTTAACGGTTAGTAATGAGGAACTGTGCTTTTCTGTGGTCTTTTTTTTTCCCCCAGTTCTGTGAACCTGAGGTCTGGCTGAGAAAGACAAAATTGCTTTGATGTTAGGTGAAATGCACTGTTTTGTCCAAGGAGGCTTTTACAGAATGGCTTTTACCTTTACTATGTACATTTATTAGAAAATTGTGTGTTTCTTTCCTAAACTGCATGCTTTGTAGTTACAGTAGACTCAAATTCTGTAAAGGTTTTCCTTTTCTGCTAATGCATTCAGCTGATGATATTTATCACAAAACTCTAGGCAACCCTAAAATTTGACTGCTTTAGCCCTCTTCGTAGTTAAGTGTTACCTGAGCAGATGGCTGAACCAAGGACCTAAGGGCATTCTTTCACGCCTGAAGTCTTCTTTCATGGGGTCATCTGATGCTGAGTAGCGTATATGCCAATGTGCCAAATTATCTTCACATTTGCTTTGAGGATAAGGAATTTGAAAGTCAGTGGCTTTTCATTTGAAGTTTTTTCTACAGAGTTTTGCACTAACTTGGAATTTTTTCATTTTCTTTTTGTTTGTTTTGTTTTGTTTTAACGTCCTCAAGTTAAAATCTGGAAGAAAAACCTTGAAGAAGAATATAACCCCTATGCACTGGAACTGGAAAAGAGTGCAACTGCTGACATGGCGGTTTTGAATTCAGAAGAGCATCACTAAATGCAGATCATATTCTGCTAGGCTTTCAAGTTTTATTTTGTAATAGATCTACAAATATTTTATCTGAAATTAAATATCCAGGTGGGAGAGTGGCAAAAAAAAGAAAAGTTTAAGTCAGATAAGTAAGCTGTTCTGAATCTCCTTACAGAAAATGCACACTGGAGTATATAAGACACTGGCTCATTCTTCTAAGTTCTGTGTACTTGGCTGATTACTATAGTAGATGATAACAGCAAATAAGTTGTTTAAACCAAGAACAACCTGAACAAGTTTGGCATATTAGTAATGGTCTTATGAACTTAAATTTGTTAACAGTGCAATATACCAAAAGAAGTTTGGGGGAGAGATTCCATATGCTGGATGTTTGGAGCTTTGGGGATTTGTTTTCTATTTCTAGTTCTTGTTTAAAGAACTCAAGCTCTTTTTAAAAAAAAAAATTGTTGTTGTTTTTGTTCTGTTTTTCATAATCCTGCTCAGGTGAGCAGTTTGGCATAAGTGTCACTTTATACCCTTCAGCAGGAGGTGAATTCTGGGCAGGCAGCTAGTTGGAAACTAGTTCAGGAAAGCTGTAGTGTTGAAGATTACCAGTTAGTTCTTTCCCTGTGATAATTTTTTTTTTGCTCTCTGATACTACTGCAATCCGTTCACTACAGATCCTGCTTTTGAGCCGGAGGACATAAGATGGACCAGCTTGCTTTCCTGTCTGTGGCTTTCCATGCTGACATATTCCTCATTCCTTTGTTTCAGGGTTATGCCAGTATACATATATGCAAGAGTTTTTAAGTCAATATCAGTTTGTATCTAAGGTAGGGAAAATTTTTATCCAGTACATTAAGTAAATTTTGAAAACAAACTGTGCTCATAATGCTGTGGTTGAGCTCTTTCATGGGAATGTAAATATGAACACCTCTGTTTACAGCTTACAGATGTAAGAGGACAAGCCTAAGAAAGTCATTGGAGGAGGCACATAACTGATCCACTGTTCTGAAAAAGAGATACAGATACTGTGTGCTGCAGCCAGCCTCTCTGTCATGCATTTATAAATAGTGGAACACATACTTTGGAAAGTAGCTGCCTCACTGCTGTCAGATACAGAAGTCTTTAAACTATTCTTCGGTGACGTTGCACCTGCTTAAAAATAATTAAGATAAAAGAAAGAAAAATGATTTCAGATACTTCTGCTTAATGGATGCAGAAGGCCAAATCTCAGCACTGTAATAAAACTGAAATAAGTGGGTCCGCACATTTTCAAGCTGCAGTTGTCCACTAGAAATAAGTGAACACAAATGCAGTCTTGAAATTCACTCCCTTTGTAAGTGTTTGAAGCTACCATAGTTAACTCAATGTGGAAAAATAACTTGGGTGTTTTGTGAGTCATCTTTATTTTGAGCATTAGTCAAAAATTCTTCATTTGGTACAGAAGCTTTATAACCAAAAGGCATATGTTTGAACAAATGAACTTGCTTATACCAGAAAAGATTGTTCTTCAGAATACTAGGAACTGTGTTCAAGGGTAAATGCTTGAATGGAGAATGGAAGAGTGGAAGTGCCTTTGAAATAAAGTTATTCAAATCTTATTTATCAATCTCTAATTTACCTTCCAAGAGCCTCAAGAGCAAAATAATTAGTTTGCTTAATCAACTCAGAACAGAAGGCATAGATCATGTTACGTTGTTTGAGCTGCACAAGTCATCCTAGGACCACTAGTCATTCTTTGAAGTTCAGCTAAAATAAGCGCCAGAAAAATAGATGGCTCCAGCATGGGGAAGATGGCCTCTCATAGCACTGGCTACACACTGTGCTGGTTCTCTGATGAGCAAGGATATCATGTTCTACCTCAAACTTCAGCAGATTTCTCCTGAACATTAGTTGTAATGCCAGCACTAACATTTGCAAATACCTCTTTGAAAGCTGTGATATTAAGAGTGCCAGGCACTGATAAGTTACATATGTTCCTCGTTCCAGTTTGTTTATTCCTTTGTACATGAGAGGCTGCTTTTCTTGTTGCAACTTCCCTGAAGGATAAAAAGAACAAGTTGTCAACATATCGTTAAAATAAAGTGGGGTTAAAAGGTTACTTATACTGACTGTTACACATGCAGCAAGTACATGCGGTACCCAGCTATCAATTAATGCTTGCTGTAACAGTTGGAGAAAAACACTAAATCTAAGTAGGTGCTTGGGATTCTGTTTTGTTTTTGTTTTTAAATAAGGGTGGCTTTGATTAAACAATATCATTTACAAGCTCCAGTACTGTATTGCAGACCAAAATCAACACATTAATGTGAAAACATCTGCTCTATTTGGCAAGCAGACTCTTTGGGGTAGGATGAGGACTACTTACTTAGAATTTGATTAGTGCACTGTGGGAGCAAGCTGACATAAGTGTACATGACGGATGAGGCAGATCATACTGTTGAGAGGGTCAGACTGACAGCGCGTACAGGAGCTCTGATCACTTTGTTACATAAACCCATTCAGTTGCCAGTGGGTCACTGGCTATTGATAGCTGCAAGACTAGTCTGTCCTATAGAAAGGTCCATAGGAGAGATCAGTTTCAAAAATTCTTACCCATGTCTTCCTCCATTTTTGCATCATCTTGTCATGTTCACTGATAGCAGTTCTCCAAGTATCAAATTCTTCGGTCCATCCATTCTTACCAACACTATCTGAAAATTGTAAATTGGATGATTATGTAACTAAATAGTGATCAAATGAGCTGACATTAACTCAGCCACAGTGCTTTTACTGGTGATTGGGCTCAAAGGAAGGCAAGGCACCATTTTATCTTCTGTTCAGCTCTACCTTCTCTTAGGTTACATGGAAGTAAGTTCTGTTCAAATGATCTGGTCTCTTCCCCTCTGCAGCAAACTTTACAACCTCTAGTGCGAGCAGACTGTCACTCCAGAGGTTCTGGTTATCTGTCAGTCCAAGTTTAGGAAAAAAAAAATAAAAATAAAAATTAAAAAAAAAAAAAAAAAAAAAAAATCACCTACTCGCAGGCTTAAGCCATTTAGAAGCAGAGGAATGTTGCAGGTACATCATGCCAAGGATGAAGAAAAGAATATAATACAGCCAACTATCTAGTTTGTGATTTCTTCATTTTACAGTAGTGTTATGTAGTGAGTTGTTCTTTATTCCATACTTCAGAGCATAAGATGGACTGTTTTACCACATCTTGATGAATTTTTAGTCCAGTCTTGCCTACAAACATTTTTTCCTTGTAGTCCCCACCACTCTAGTGGTAGCAGCAGACACAGATGTAGTATCTGTCAAGATGGTCATGGTATAATGCTTTCAAAGCTTCCCTGCTTTGTACTGATAGCAGTTTCACTGAGATGCTCCTCATTCTGCTTTCCTTTTCAGCTGAAAAGGGCTATGCTAAGCTGTTCTTGACTTGATTCACATTTAGCACTAATCAGGTAAATATATATATTTTTTCTTTTCCATATTAAAAAAATAATCTTATGTACCTTTGTTGCTCCTGATGCTTTTTTTTTTTTTGTTTTTTTTTTTTTTTTTGAGATTAAGACTTTCTGCAGGTATGGGTAAGTTGCAAAACTTAGTTGTAAAAGGTACTCAAGTTGTCCTTATCAGTTCTGCTTGCGTGAAGATCTTACCCAAGTGCTCAGCTGAGCTGTCTGACCTCTGGCCCATAAGTGGCAAAACAAAAAAGTTGGAACTGCATCCACCTGACTACAGGCAACTCACAGATCACCCAATATTTAAATATCCCATATAGCAAGCGTATAGTATGAAATAAACAATTACCTCTGACCAGTTTTTGGATAGCTCAAGAAGGTATTAGTCACAATCCAGTAATAAGGAAGGAATAGCTTACCCCATTCTGAAGATAGGGCTCACAGGAAAACTGTCAGTAGAGGCAAACTGCGAGTAGAGATACTTCTCACTCAGCTTCAAGCCCTTAAATGAGGTTGGGGAGGAGGGTGGGCCCAGGGTTGCACAAGTGAATTGCTTGCACTTGTGCTTCCAGGAGTTGCCATGCCTTTTTATCAGGTGCTCAGCTGGTTCAGGCCCATGTACTGGGCATTTCTTTTTCTCACTTCCTTAGAAGCAAAGGTTTTTGTCACCCTGCATAGTTCTTGCAGAGTGGTATTTTGTATTCTCAGTACTCACATCCAATCCGTGTCCATTCGTTTAACAGTTTTTGTTTCATTACTAAGGCATATTTGCTGATTTGCAGGTTAGTTCCATGGGAGGGTGAGAAAGAAGCAATTTTCTGTGTCTGCAAAACCTTTGTTGGCAGAGCCAACAAAAAGAGCGTACAGTCAGAACCAGCCTACCTGTATCTTTCACTTTGATGAGCACTTCTGATGTTGTGTTCCCAATCTTTGAGATGAATGAACATTTATATTTTGTATTTCCTGATACTGAATCTTTCACCCAACTGAGGACATGCACTCTGCCATCAAACAGCCTGTGAGCCTGTTCAGTGATGCATGCCTTCATTTCCTGTCCATTCTTCTTCCAGACAAAATGGGAGTCATCTGGACCTGTAGAAATGTCAGTCAGCTTACTTGGGGAGAAAAATACAAGCTGAGTCTTTGAGGAAAAAAGCGAAAGCTTAGGACCTCAAGACTAGGCTCAAAGACATAAAAAGCTTGGTTTCAATGTTTCTTAAGTTTCTTCAGCTGAAATTCTAGACACCAAAAAGCTGGGATAAAAAAAAAAAAAAAAAAGTATCGTTGATAATTTAGGTTTAACCTGTAGTTGTAAATAAGTTCATATGCAAAAACAAGTTTTCTGTGCCTGTATTCTTACAGGGCCCACAACCGTGATAGACCAGACAATGGAATCAGTCTGTTGAAGAAGCAGGCCATGCTAACTAGTGCTGATGAAGCTCATGCCTGGTGAAAGGCTGAAGCATTCTGAGATACCTTCCAACATTTGAAATAGAGGCTAGGAGGGGAAAAAGTTCAAGAATTCAGTATGTCAAAGATGCCAGAAATAGTGAAAGGCAAAACTGAAAAAAGTGTGGGACCATTTGTCACAGCAGGCAATTAGACAAGACAGAATAGCTTGGATCAAGAACAAAGAGCAATCTAATCTTTTAGTTGTTGCTACTATTAATCTTAACATGTGAGGATAGAATTTGAATAAATCAGAATTATTGATAGTAGCACAGAACAGCTGTTAGTGGGAAGTTAGCAAGATTGGATGAAGCATAATATCTGTGTCCTTTCACTAAAGGGAAAGGCATCTGGGTCAAGGTAAGAACTTTGCAGCAATTCTTAAAGCACAGAATCATAGAATGATAGAATGGCCTGGGTTGAAAAGGACCTCAAGTATCATATAGTTTCAGCCCCCCCCGGCCATCAGCAGGGTCACCTACCACCAGACCAGGCTGCCCAGAGCCGCATCCAGCCTGGCCTTGAATGCCTCCAGGGATGGGGCATCCACAACCTCCTTGGGCAACCTGTTCCAGTGTGTCACCACCTTCTGTGTGAAAAACTTCCTTCTAATATCTAACCTAAACTTCCCTGTCTCAGTTTAAAACCACTTCCTCTTGTCCTATCATGATGAACCCATGTATAAACAGATGTTCCCCCTCCTGTTCCCTTCAAGTACTGAAAGGCCACAGTGAGGTCTCCCTGAGCCTTCTCGTCTCCAAGCTATACAAGCCCAGTTCCCTCAACTTATCTTCATAGAAGTGCTCCAGGCCTCTGATCTTAGTGGCCCTCCTCTGGACCTGTTCCAAGAATTCCATGCCTTGTGCTGGGGCCCCAGGCTTTGACGCAGTGCTCCAGATGGGGCCTCACAAGAGCAGAGTAAAGGGGGAGAGTCACTTCCCTCTCCCTGCTGGCCCCTCTTTTTTTAGTGCAGCCCAGAACACAGTTGGCCTTCTGGGCTGCAGATGCACACTGCTGGCTCATGTCCAGCTACTAATCCACCAGGAATTGAGAAACACGTCTTTCTCCCTTAGGGCTTGGGATACAGAACGGACTTAGAACTTACACTGAGAGAAGGTGTAAAAAGAAAGCTGGATAAAAGGAAAATAAAGGATTCTTTGAAATGGGTCTTGAGGGAACAGAACCTGCTACAGCAGTCAGATTTTGCTGGGTTTTTTTATTCCAAACTGATATGGAACTTTCTTCAGAAAAAAAAAAAGTGATTCTAGGCCTGCTAACTAGTTAGATTTCACATTCCCTGGTGTTGATTTTTTGTCTGCTTGCATGGCAGCCTTTACATCTATCTGTGTGCCTTCTCAGCATATGTTAGATTCAGATTTAAATCATTTGCTAATATCCAACAAATATGGAGAAAGAAATTTTTATTAAGTACAAGGATGAATAGCAGAGAATGTGATCTAACTGCAGTGTGGTGGATTTCATCCTGGAAGGAAGGAGGGGTGGAAAGAAGGCAGCACATTCTCCAAAGGAATGACGACAGCTCTGTCAGAGTTGGGGGCAGGAAATGAGCATAGAATGTTCTTTAAACAAAGTAAATCATGTTTTATAGATGGCTGTCCTAACCCTGTGATTAACTGAAGGTGGATTACATGTAACTAAAAGTATGGGAGACAGTAACAATGGACAAATTATTTCAGTACATTAAT